TGATTCTAAAGTGTCAACTCCTCTAGCAAAAAGTTCATTTCTAAGATCTTCCATTAGGCCAGCTCTAAACATGGACAAGATTTGTGTTGGGGTGGCGGACTCCTCGCCATTGCAACGAATCAGGAAATCGTCGAAGGCGGAGATGTAATCCTTAACGGGCTTGCTCCCTTGGGTTAGTCTATTCCACTTATCTAGGAGCTTAGGGTAGTAGGATGGCGGGAGGTATTTTCTCCTAAGTTCTTGCTTCATGGTTCTCCAGTCTGTAATAGGATGTTCGCCTCGAGCCTCGCGCATATTCTCCAAATTCTTTCAATATAATTGGCTCGACCGGTGAGTTTCATCTCTGTAAATCTAACCTTTCTGGATTCCGAGATGTTATACCACTTTAAATAACTATCCATGGACTTAAGCCAATCCAAGAAAACTTGGGGGTCAAGGGTTCCATCATACGTTGGGGCATTAATCCTAATATTTTTCAACAATTGGGCATCGTTGTCTCTCCAAGGGTTCTCGTCTCCTACGGGGTCTTGATGGGGCCTCGGGTTATGGCGGTAATGGTCTCGAGGATGGCCATGATCCGCTCTGTTATCCTCGTCATAGGGTGAGTGAGGTCGTGAAGGTGTATAGATAGCGGGATTCCCAATACGCTCTATGTTATCTAAACAATCACTGGTTTGTCTCCTAAAATCAGCTAAGTCCGTCTGAGTGTTACGGATTTGTTGCGTAACAGTTCCCAATTGGCCCACTATGAGGTCTAGGGTCGCCTGGATGTGTTCCGGATCCATGGGTAAAGGTTAAGGGTTGCTAGGGGAAGTGTCGGGTGTTGGACAGCACCTAGACGCTAAGGTAGGAAGCTCCTAAGGCTTCAATATGCTGCTGGAATGCTATGGACAACAACCTAACACAATGACTCAAGTTGGCTAAGTGTTAGGGACAGGTTTAGAAGGTTGGACAGCAACTTGTTAAAGGTTTAGGGTCACTTAAATGTCCCTAAATAGTGCGGGAAAAGTGCTGGACAGCAATGTTTTCAAGTGTAACAAGTGACCTAAACACTTAGGTGAGTTGGAAACACTAAGACAACACTTAGGTGATGAGCTAAGCTTGCTTAAAATGATAAATATGCAGAAATTTTTCTGGACAGCAAAGTAAAGCAGAAAATTTTATTAAATAAGAAATGGTACGCATGCAAATGAGCTACACGAATGGTAACTAACTTCCTAGGAACTTCTAGCACAAGCAAAGCATGCTAGCCATGCTCTGATACCAAAAATGATGTGAAACAACATGCGATGAACAAGAATTGCCTTTGAGAAATTAATAAAAGCGATGAAATTTATCTTGCTAATAAATAACTCTTTGCTTGCTCAAGATTGAGTTAAGAATTTGACGTTGAAAGATTTAGCAATAACAATAGATCACATGTAGAGATTACAGTAACTTGCAAAATAACAGCCAAATATTTAGGTAATGCAAATAGCTAATGATAACGAAGCCTCAAATTTAAAATCTAGATCATTCACCTTGAAGTCCTTCACTCGTTTTGAAAGTGGTGGCTAGCGGAGGAGGATTGTAAGTAGACTTAGCGATGCCACTAGTAGACAGGTGATCCCGAGAGGACTCGTCGCCGGGGAAGAAGCCGGACTTGGAGGAGCGGGTGGGCGGCCGTCAATGATCCACTCGGAGTCTGGACGTTGTTTGTCGATGACGTGTATGAGGTTCGGTAGGATCCGATCCAAGTACGTTCCAACGGTGTCGCCGTTGGAATCAAATCCTGCATCGAAGAACGGCGATTGTTGGGTGTCGTGATTGTCGTGAGCGTCGAACACAAGTACCCATTCAAATTCGGGGTCCGCCATGCATGGTGGTAGTGAGTGATGAAGCCAAAGAGGGGAGGCGAGAGGGCAAACTGTGAGCAAGAAGAGGGAGGCCGGTGACGGGTTGGAGAGGGGCTAAGGGCGGGTGGAGCTATGGGGGGAGAAAGGCTAAAATCTGAGAATTAATTCAGATTTCCGAAATTGGCGGACTCGTAATTTCAATTTCAGAATTTTGAATTTGAAATTAAGATTAGGAAGGAATGGTTAATGGTGTATTAAAGAAAATTAAAAGGGGGAGAGATATGAGGGATGGCCGACCATGTAGAGAGGGGAGAGGTTGGAAATTTAAGTAGGTGGGGACCACAATTAATTAATCAAAATCTGAAATTTAGATTTCAGATTTTAATTATATCATATAACTCCCTAATTTAAAGAAAATTGGGAGGGAATTTGAAATTCAAAAGGTTGTAACACCCCTTCATTAATTCCTCAATTTAAGTGGCTCAATTAGGAAGGTCATTAAGGGAGGGAAATTCAAATTTGCAAGAGGGCCAAAGAGGAGGGGGGGGGG